GACTGGAAAGGATACGGTATCAACATCAATGGCGAGTACATCACTCACCTTCGATTTGCCGACGATATAGTCCTTATGGCAGAATCGCTGGAGGACCTAAGCACTATGCTCAATGACCTCGATAGTGTTTCCCAACGGATAGGTCTTAAGATGAACATGGACAAAACAAAGATCATGTTCAATGTCCATGTCACACCTATGCCGGTAGTTGTTGGGAACACTAAGCTCGAAGTTGTTGACGAGTATGTTTACCTGGGACAAATAGTCCGACTAGGTAAGTCCAACTTCGACCGAGAGGTCAATCGACGGATTCAACTCGGCTGGGCAGCGTTCGGGAAGCTACGACACATCTTCTCGTCAGACATACCTCAAAACCTGAAAACGAAATTGTACAACCAGTGCGTGTTGCCAGCGATGACTTATGGAACTGAGACGTGGTCCTTCACTGCTGGCCGTATGAGGAAGCTCAAGGTCGCTCAGCGAGCTATGGAGAGGGCTATGCTCGGAGTTTCTCTGCGTGATAAACTTAGAAATGAGGATATCCGCAGTAGAACCAGAGTAACCGACATAGCCCAACGGATTAGTAAGCTGAAGTGGCAGTGGGCCGGCCATATAGCTCGAAGAACCGACAACCGATGGGGAAGAAAGGTTCTCGAGTAGCAGCCTCGTACCGGTAGGCGAAGTGTAGGGCGTCCCCCCACGAGATGGAGTGACGACCTGGTAAGACATGCAGGAAGTCGATGGATGCAGGTGGCTCAGGACCGTGCTTTGTGGAATTCTTTGGGGGAGGCCTATGTTCAGCAGTGGACTTGTGAAGGGCTGTAATGATGATGATGATATATATATATATATATATATATATATATATATATTTATATATGTTCATTAAATATTATATTATATTACATTAATATATAATTCATATATTTATATAAATCTTATTTAATAATAAGTTTTTATCCTCAGTTTTATTTTATATTGCACGTTGCACCTATCCGTCAAAATAAATTACATTGTCCTTTTACGTTCGGTTTGTTAGGTACAAATCGCTTAAAGTGATATGACCACCGTTTGTAATTCATAAGTTTTCCGTAATTTTAACCAATTTGTACAAATTCAGTAAAGAGTTAGCTATCTATCTCTAAATTACATATTGCAAACCAGTAACATTCATTGCTATGCGGATGACAGCACTAATGATACTCTTTGCAACGGCCGTGCCAATATTTATCGGGAAAACGTCGCCGAATACCGGAACAAACTTGTGTCTGAAGCAGAGTCTTTTTTGAACAAAGTCTTGGATTGGAAGCTGTTAAATCTAGTCCAGTTTAATTCTCAGAAGACATAAGTTTGCGCGTTTACCGCTAAAAAGAAACCCTTTGTCGTATCTAAGTTTCAGGGCACTCCCCTTGTTGCCTTAGCCGGTATCAATTTCGTGGTCACTTGGAAGAGAAGGCCAAATTGGTCTCTGAAAAGCATGGCGTGCTAAACAGAGCGGGAGATTATTTCATGCCAGGACACCGCTTGCAACTTTACAAGGCGCAGGTTCAGCCTCACATGGAATACTGTTTCCCATCTCTGGGCTGGTGCTCCCCAGTGCCAGCTCCTTACACTTGACCGCATCCAGCGCAGAGCGGCTTGAATCGTCGACGATCGAGTCCCTTCTGATCGGTTCGATTCTTCGAAGAGATGTTGCATCCCTTTGCATTTTTTTTCGCATCTACCACGGGGAGTGCTCTTAGGAATTGTTCGGATTAATCCCAGCCGTCAAAGAACCATGCCCACTTTTCATACATTTAAAAACCTGATAGTAAAAGTTTATGTATAGTTATAAGGTATAGTAGAAAAACTTCCTCTAAGTTTAGAAAATAATGTCATGTAGTCATTTTTACGATTTAAACGCTACGAAGCCCAAAAATATTAAATTTACTCTTTAGGTTAGGATTTGCCGTTAGCAAATATTTAATTTTTCTATCTCTTATTAATGTTCTATCACCACTTCCTCTGAGATTATACTGAGAAAAATCTTGAGTATCCCTACATATTTCTATTCTATATGATCAATGAAAAACACACAAAATGGGACAATACACAACGAGACGCAAACACAACAAGTGATTAGAATTATAAATGTGTATTCTCTTTGGCAACAATGAAGGACTGCGCCGATGCCAATCGTAGAACTATTAAATGTCAAAAAAATCCGTTTCACTCGTGTGCACTCAGTAACATACTGCATTATTTATTTATTATATTATTTTTAATCAATCTGTACTATACAAAAAGTAATAAAGAAATATATATATATTTCTTTATTAATAAATCTTTGGTAATAAATTGAGTAATATGTTTTAAATTGGTACTAAACAGTTATCTTTTACTTAACGAAAGTTTAATGAATAAACAACAAGTCTCAATCCGTCAAAATCTTCTTCAATTCTCTTAAACCAAGTTGCGAAATACCACAAATTCTAAAGTAATTTATTTGTTTTTGCTTTAAGGCTTTCATAACAATTTCTTCAAGCAGAATCTAATAAAATTAACTTCAAACAGATTCCTGCGGCTTAAATTGCAATTTTATTAAATTTTGTGTAATTATGAAAATTGGATTTAATAATTTAAACTGATAATTATAATCTTTAAATGTATTTATACTTTTTTGCGAACAAAATTATAGCAAGTAGATTGTAAGTTTGTTTGCAAATAGTATTGTATTAAGTTAAGCCAAATTAAATTCAGAAGAAGCATGAGAGTAGAATAAATGCTGTAGAAATGCGGTCATTAAGGAGTATGCTAGGGCTGAATCTGAAAGACAGGGTGAGAAATAGTGTGATAAGAGAAAAGTGTGGTTTGCAAGGTGACGTTTTGACCAGGATTAAGAAAGGAATGCTTCGGTGGTTTGGTCATGCAGAAAGAATGAACGAGGAAAGAGTGACAAAGCAAATTTATGTTGCAGAAGTGAATGGCAGGGTCGGGAAGGGACGCCCTAGACGAAGGTTTATCGCTCAAATCAGCGATACATTGAAAATGGGCCAGATTAGGAGTACCCTTAACTGACGAGAGTGTATGCGTAGATATATGGATGTAAAGGAAACAAGAGAGGTGTGTCAGGATCTCGCAAATGGAAGTCCGTAGTCTCTGCCTACCCCTCTGGGTGACAGGCGTGAGTGTGTGTGTGTGTGTGTGTGTGTGTGTGTGTGTGTGTGTGTGTGTGTGTGTGTGTGTGTGTGTGTGTGTGTGTGTGTCAGTGAATATCTGTGAATACGAGTACACGGTCAACAGTGAATATCTGTGAATACTACCTTGAATTTTGAATAATTTGTATTATTATACATTGTGTTTAATTTGTAGCAGTTTACGCTCTACAATCTTTATAATAGATGTTAACATCATTGGATTTGATTTGCTAATAGAAACCGAGATAATCGCGAAAAACTGGTTTTTTTACTTTGACCTTGAATATCATACGATGCAGACACGAGATTTTATGAGACTTTTAAGACAACTTTTAGAACGCCAAAATGAAGGTATATACGAAAAATCAGCTTATTTTCTCTCATTCCGAGGTTGACCTCTTTTTTATGCTAAAGTGACTAGACTAAAATCTAGCTAAAACGTAACACACAATATAAAAAAACTATAATAAAGAAAAACTAAAACTAAGCCCTGCGGTGTTGTGCCAAGAACGCTGTCTGCGTTTTCTCGCTGTATGGCTATACTTAGCCTTTAAGCGAGAAAAGAACCAGACCTCTTATCATAGCAGAGACGACTAGTCGCAGATACAGTTCTTCTAGGAACTTCACCGCACGTGGATCCCACGGACTGATAGTCCCTACAGCAAATGACACAAATATGTAGTCATCTCTCTAAAACTCACATTTGCGCCTCTTACTTAGTTCAGCTGCCTCTGATGACGCCCCGGCTCTAAACGAGGTACCCTTGAGGTGAAAGGTTGCCAAAGTGTCTACGCAAGTAACATCCCACACTAGGGCTTTACCCTTCTCCCAAAGGATCAAAATCATACCGTCGGTTCCCTTGTCATCTTCTTTAAATATTCCACAAGGCTCTAAAACCTAGGAAACATTTATAGAGATAAAAGCTCTTCGGATGGCATCGTTCAAAGAAACGTGACGGGAAAACCTACCTGCACTTTTCTTACATGAAACGTATGATATTGTATTACCTCAGAAAAATATCATTAGTAGGTTATAACCAACACATCATTAGTACGTCATAATATATGCTTCGAAATGAAAACGAAATATTACATAGTTCTAAAATATTAAAAAAGAATTAAATAGGTACCTATCAATAATAACCGACCTGCTCAGTTATACAATAGGTAGATATAGTCAAGCTGCAACACGAATGGAGCACACGGACAGAATACTAGCGCTAAATAGCAGCATAACGCAGTTGTGTACCGAAAGATGAGTTCCTAAAATGAACATGAGTCACTTTTTATCAGTAACTAGGCATTCCATATTAGTCCTTAGGTGTGACAATGCATTGTTTTTATAAAATAAGATTGACAAATATTATGTAGGTATATGTCTATAGACCACAGCACCGACTTACTATTCGGTGAACTTTGTGCTTATTTCTCATCCTTACTTCTTTAAAAAAAAGTAATATATGCCAGTTGTCGCATTCTTAGAAAGGCCTATGATGTGATTTGATTCTATGTATTAGCATTTTAACTCCATTGCACTAGCACTGACTACAAGTTTTTTGGAGATGGGGAAGAAAATTTTTTTGGCTATATTTTCCTAACTTCGGGTACGTCTTATGTTGTCTTTCGTTTTAATTGTTATTTTATTTAAAATTTAGGGAAGAGCTCATGAAATATGTTACTAATAAATAAACTAACAGTACTAACATAGTTCATGAGTTATATTAATGTTATTAGCTTTATGGATCTTAATGTGAATTTTTTTTTGTATTATGAAAAGAATTTAAAACTTATTTATTTATTTTAATATTTGAAATTTAATAAAATCTTAAACCCTAATGTGAAATGTAGACAAAAAATCCGGTGCCCGGACGACTACGTGCTCGAAATCCATGAAAGATAATTTCCCGTCTCCATCCACGTCGGCCTCGTCGAGTACACTTGCGACTATCTCATCGCGCTCTTGTTGATGTAGCTCTCCCTTTGTAAGTAAGCGTGTAGCTTCTAGTAGATCCTCTCGACCTATGTACATATCATCGTCGAGATCATAGATCCGAAAAGCGTACCTGTAAGATAATACTAATCGTATCATGGTGATATTAATATTGATATTAATAAAATGGTAATAAACATTCTTTAAAATTATAGTTGTGAAAGTATATTTGTCCTTCAATGAATCTTGAACGGAGCTGGACGAATTCTGATGAAATTTGGTCAAACAAATCGATCAGTTCGTTTACAATTCAGTGTTTGGACAGAGGGTTTATCACAATTACTATTATTCTTATTATTTTTTCGACTTATTCTTTATTATTGGATAAAGACTTCTCCCACTGTGCAGCCTTTGCCGATTTGCTTTAAGGATGACGTTATTAATCAGAGATAATTTTAGATTTAATTTCAGCAATGCTAAGGGCAACTGATATAATATCAGTAACATGAATTCTAACTAGGATTTTAACTCATGATTATCCACTTAGTTGTGGAATACTTCTTCCACAAAAACCACGCGACGTCTTAAAAGTATTTCGGAGCATTATTTCAAAAATATTCCGTTGGTGATAATAAATATTTATAAACTATTAACTCTTTATTACTCATAAATTCAAAAGATATTACTTTCTCACCAGGCTTTTATATCCCGCGGCGCCGCTTCGCTGAATACCGACATCATATCTAGGAAGTCCTCGAACGTTAGGTTTCCGGAACCATCGTGCGAAAATACTTGACAGATGCGACGTTTGAAAGGATTCTCCTGGAAAGCAATTTTAAAAATTATATTTGAAGACGAAATATTACTTAAAAATTGGAGCTATGATATTTTTTCTTATAGAGTAAGGGTGATCAACGAGTACCCACGTGATAGTAAGTTGATGCTGTGGCTCATAGACATCTTCCCTATCCTATCCTCGTTTTTACCCCAGGGTTAAGATGGAATGCCTCGTTTCCACTTTCCAGTAAAAGAGATCTCCGGTTCTCCACACTCACCATACGCAACACAGCAGCATTAAGCTGCTATTTTACGCTGGTATTCTGTAAGAGCGTGGTCCCTCCCCGGTCGATCCGACCCGTTCGTAGGTACTCCAACTATAATATACCTGCAGCATGGCTATACCATGAATAACCATGCAATGATTTCAGAATCATTTATTATGGGTATTAAATAGACGTCAGATAAAGTATAATAATGTTCAATTATATCGAACTTGTTTCTTTAACACAATTCAATTCAAATTAACATGTTACGTCTGCAGAAATCGAAATAAGTACTAAAATTAGTACGGCCGCAGTCAGCAGTGCGCAATATGTTTTCAGTGTATTGCTGGAAATGTCAAAAGTGAATCAAATTAGTACGTGAACACCGATAATTGACGTACCTTTTTTTAAAGTATTTATTATAATAGAAATGAAATAAACCTTACATAATTTCAAAGGTACTTAGAGAAAAGGCGTTGTGCCTTAGGGTGTTTTCATAAAGAAGTCGATAACCGGTAATTACAAGACGGTACCTTTGTATTTATTTTTAGATAATTTTGTATTTACGATCTCCTGCGAAGGACGAGGTATATTATTCCAAATTTTGGAGGCAGCATATTTGAAATATCCCTTCGCTTTAACACGCTTATAAGTTGAAAGTATATTTTAGTTTTCTAATGTAACCCATTCTTAAAATATGTTTTGAAAAGATAAGGAGTTACGTGTTTTTTTTACTCTTTGTATTCTTCCTATAGTTATACCAAATTGCAATAATGCAAATGTGACAAGACTTAGTAGTCTACTACAAAGAAGGAGTCGGATATTTAGTTTTAGAAAAGAATTAAGTTTATATAGATATTTTAAAGACCCCAAAACTTGTTCCTAGTTTTTGCTGTACGTGTTATACAAACGTTAAACTTCATCCATGTTAAGTTTTGAGTTGTACATGCAATTATCTCGAGGTATGATTGTGCCATTGATAATGATAATTGATTAAATTTTTTGATAGATGCTACTTGATGACCTGTACCCATAATTATACAAGTGATTTTTACGATTTAGACGATTCAGAAATAGGCCATGAGACTTTGAACACTTCTCTATTAACTTTAGATCAGTATTTAAGTTGGTAACCGCTGTTTTATAACCGTTTTATACAGGATATTTGGAGTGTTGGATTACATTTTTTTATGTCTGCTGTATATATGGTGAAAAGTGTTGGACCTAGAATGGAACCTTGAATGATGCCTTTTGAAATTTATAGGGACTCCAAAGTATCAGCAGTATCTTCGACATCGATGCATTTTATGACCGAAATTACGAACATGCCGTTTCGTAAAAACCAACGTTTTTTTTTTTAATTTTTGCGGTAAAAGTGTATACAACTTTTACTTTAACGCAGTCAAAAGATCGAGTAAAATCTAGTATCAATAAAATGGTACCTTGTAAGAATATCGTCCGTGATGTCTAATAAGGCTGTAGTTGTGCTAAATTTTCGGCGAAAACCAGATTGAAATGTGGAAGGATGGCATTATTTTTCATATAGCTAGTAATTTGTGACTGCGCACACTTCTCAGTTATTTTTGACAATGCAGGTAATTGGTCTGAGGTCGTAAGAGCACTTCCAAACATCGGCAAATACTTCTAACAACATTTTATTAACGACGGCTTCAATAGCAATCAAAGAGTATGGTTATGGTTACATTCCTTTGAGTTAGAGTAAATGAATTAACAATCTTCCGTAGCTCTGAAGAAGAGACTCCATTAAAATTGAACTCCCATAATTTTTTTACTACTGTAACACAGTAACGCTATTTGTAAATTGTCTATTAAGTTTTGAGGCATCCAAAAGATATTCAGTAATTGATCCCTAGAACCGCTCTTAATTGTTTTATTAAGGTGACGCCACACTCAGGACATGTTAAATTAATTATTTACAAATTAGGAAAGATATGCCTGTTTCCCAACACGAACAGCTTAATAACCTATATAAGGTTGCGCATGTCCTGGTAAAATTCATAAGCCTATTTGGAATTACCTATTAACCTTTTACTGACAACGAATCATTTCATCTTACTCCTCTGGAAAGACAACACATCTGCATTTTGATTTTTGATCCATGATAGAGTCTATGGGCCATATCATACACTTACCATCAAGTGCTCGTTTGTTACCCTTATTCTAAAAAATAGTTACACGAGTAAACAGTTAAAAGAGACACGAATTGGTCGGCTACACCGGGATAGGATTACACCCGCACGGAAGCGTAAAATAGCCACCAGCAAGTGACATGACCTGAAAATAGTGACGCGAATCGGAGACCTTTTTACTAGTAAAGAGGCATTCCATCTTAGCCCTCAAGGGTGACAAAGTATCTGCATTTTAGAGAACAGTTGTATAAATATCTATGCGTCGGCATAGCATCCACGTACTTTAATCTTAAACCTCATTTCATATTTAAATTGTTACAGCCTATTAAAGTCCACTGCTGAACATAGGCCAATGATTTGGATGGATGGATTGCTCATAGGGGGTATATGGGGGATATACAGATTTAAACACTGACAGAAAATATATTCAGCTGTTTTAAGCTTAATTTTAAAGCCTCTTTTTCTACAAGAACATTACCCATATTATCAACATTATAAAAACGATTTTAGAACAATTTTTACCGCTATAATTCGAAATTGTCCATAAAATATTTCAAAAGACTGGAGTATTAGATAACTTAATGCAATTGTCTCTCTTGGCGAGCAACTTAGGGACAATTTTTTTAAAACTAAATTACAATAAAATAACTTCCACGTAGATCGATGCTAAGATGACAAGAGTGTATTGGAGAATTAAAGCTGAGGATGATATACTGCTTTAAAGTGGTATTTTTCATTAGAGTCAAGTGTCCCCCCCCCCTTTACGAACTAAACTGCTGTTTTTGGAAATGTCAAAAGTATACACAATAGTATATGTAATGAAGTTAAAAGGAAAACAATCACAGTTAAGTAGAATTAAGAAGTTAATGAGTTATAGTCGACCAACTTATAAAATGCACTTGGATTAGTAAAAATTTTGTTTTAACTCCATAGAAAATGACTTAAAACTTCAAAATGAATTATAATTTTGTAATGTTATTGTAAACTGTAAGAAATAAACATTTTATGAAGAAAACGACTTATATGCATTACTACTATTAGCTTTACTTTTTCATTTGCATGATAGATAGGGTATTATTATCGAAATAGAAAAGGTTTTTAACCTTTTTATTTATATGAATTATAAGGCTGAAATTGAAAATTAGTCCTTCACTTACAATCTTGCTATTTGGGCTCATTTTAGTCGTTATAGCGGTCAAACCGCTGAATCACATATAACCACATATGCTCATTATCAAGGAAGGCCACATTGTGCGTGGCGCTACAAGCACTGGCCAGTTTTTATTTAATACACATACATGTTATTCTTCAGGAGTTAGCCCATATAAACAAGCAGAAAATTTTATCCCTAACGGTAGGGAAAATAGGGAATGAAGTTTGTATTGAGACGACTTAGAATTTTTTTTAAATCAGTCACCCAGGACATCCTCCCTTTTATATCCATCCATCCATTACAGTCCATTGCCGAACATATGCCTCCCTTATAGATTGCCTCATGGGGGAATTTTGCCATAGTCGCTCCGCTATGTGCATATGGCGAAGAGTGTTGGCAAGCGTGGAACTATGGCAAAATCCTAACCAGTTTTTTATTATTTTGAGTTGGTATTAAGAAGATGCTGCTGCCCATCTGCTGTTTCCTATTCCTTACATAGATATACTTACACCGCCTTACAGCAATTTATTGTTCCACTTAAAAGCACTTGCTTTTACAAATATTAACTTAACATAAATACTAACGATGAAATATAACCTTTTTTTTTATTAATAGATTGTTTTATATGCTTACGTAACCTATTAATCGCACATCGACCCAGTGTCAGTTTATGAACAGGCTTTTTTTTTATAGGATAAGGGTGATAAACGAGCACACAGTCCACCTGATGGTAAGTGGCCGCTGCTGCCCATAGACATCTACATCTATCTTCTATTACAAATCAAAATGTAGATGCGTTGTCACCCGTGAGGACTAAGATGGAATGCCTCATTTCCAGCAAAAAGGCTCTGACGACATAGGATTGTGAGGACACCCAGAGAATTACACACTACAAATAAAGGCTGTAAGACATTCCAATTTAGTCCTTAGGAATGAAAACACATCTGTGACGACTTTTATTGTATTTGGCTGCAAATGTCCGTGAGCAAATGTGTGCACTTTCCATCTAAGGGACTGTGAGTTCTCGTTTTTCCCTCTCTTCAACTATATGATTTTTTCTAATTTTTGAATGCTTAGACTATAGCTGTAAAATCAAATAACTATACGTGTATTTTACCTTAAGCTCTGGCAGTTTTTCTATTTCCTCCACGGGCACTGCTATAGTATGAGCTTGGTTCTCTGTCATACGTTTCGGTACGAGATCTGGATTTACGTCTCTGAATCGTTTGAAAACCCTGTAGCAATAAAGATAAAATTAATTTAATGTTTTACCATTTTTGTCATTGGACAGAGCAGATTGGTAAATATGTCAGGCCAGTGTTTTTTATGAAATAAGGGTTACAAACAAGCACAAAGATTACTTGATGGTTAGTAGATATTGTGACCCATAGACATCAAAACACTGTCCTCAATTAAGAATCAAGATGTGCGTTATAACCCCTAGGGACTAAAGTGTAATGCCTTATTAAAAAGAGTCCCCGGTTTCTATATATTCCACACGCACCACACGAAACACAACGGCATTAAACGTGGTCATTCCCCATCCGAGCTGACCCATTCGTGTCACACTATAGCTACAGCGTGGTTCTACCACGAACATCTGTCAACGTCCACGAAAACTATGGCGTCGTGGATAATGCAACGACGTTTATTCATTCAATACAGCCTCCCAAAAGTCCAAGTATCACTGTTGAATATTTTCGTCCACCATAGATTGCTTCATGGGGGAATGCCAGAAAGTTTACCATAGTCATCAAGCTTGGCAGGCGGGTTGGCAACTGCAGTTTTTTTTATTTTAAACTGTTATCAGCAGAATGCTGCTGCTTCATGTCCCTCTTCAGGGGATGATATAGAGTAGCGGATTCTCTTAAACTACAACTTTTTTATCGTTTTTAGGATAGGATTTTCTCCTGTATCGAGGGAGCAGTTTATATACATAAATTTAATTAATTAATAGAATCAGGCATTACTTTGCGGAAATCCATTATAATAGGGTTGTTATAAATTAATTTGCTTAATTCCGTGTAAAGAAAGAAAATGAAGTATCCTGTCCAGTTTTAAGGGGACCTCCCACCCCTCCTCAATCGCGCGCACTATAGCCGTCGCCGTCAATCCCAGCACTACCTTCCCCAGCACCACCACACTAGGCACGGCACAACACTCTCGAAAATACTGTATTTTCGAGAGTGGTGTGTCGTGCCTAGTGCTATTAAGCAAATTAATTTATAACAACCCCAATACATAAATTACACAAGGACAAACAGACGCGGAACAATTATTTATAAGTCATACAAATACTTGTTCAGTGCGAGATCCGAACCGGCGGCCCTTAGCGCTTCAACTCATTGCTAAGCCACTGCGCCACGGAGCAGTCTTTGTTAAATTTAATAACGTTTTTACGACTCGATAACTAAACGTTTTACTGAATTACTATTCGTATGTGGTAGTATTTGTTCCTGGTCTGGATGTTGATCGATGTATAATTTATGTATGGTAAATGTCTCCGCGTGTTATGTTACTAAAGATAATTCATGTGATTACAGTCGTAAACTATCGAATTTTTAACAAAATAACATTTTAATAACCGTAATTCGTTCCTTACTATCTATGAGTCATCAACTCGCAGTAGTTAGGGAAAACGGTACCATTTTCTTAAGGCTTCAAAGTAATAGCATATTTCTTCTAATAATGTCAAATATGACTTTTTCAAACCTATTTAAACACTTATAGGACTAAAATCTTCACTTTTATTTCTGTTAATAAGATTTTTCACTGTTTTTATCCACTACAATATATTTTATTATCGTACAATAATTTAAAATTAAAAATTTTGTACAGCCGACTTCAATATAAGTTATTTAAGAATATCTCAAAAACTATTGGTCTGACCTTGATCAAATTCATATGGGACCACACGAGAACTGTCAGCTTTCATATAAGAAAAAAATCATAACATTTTTCACTGTTTTTATCCACTACAGTATATTTTATTATCGTACAATAATTTAAAATTAAAAATTTTGTACAGCCGACTTCAATATAAGTTATTTAAGAATAACTCAAAAACTATTGGTCTTACCTTGATCATATGGGACCACACGAGAACTGTCAGCTTTCATATAAAAAAAGAATCATCGAAATCGATTCACCCAGTACAAAGTAATGAGGTAACACAGATAAAAAAAAACATACAGTCGAATTGAGTACCGTCTCCTTTTTGGAAGTCGACAGTAAAATAACTATAATAGGTAAACTTTATTTAAATTATTCCCTTTGCTTGAGTTTACATGATGAATCATCATTTAATATTACAGTTCACAATATCATTTGTTTCAGTGTATTATCAAATTTTAAGGTTTTTTATAGGATAAGGGTGACAAACGAGTATACAGTCCACCTGATGGTAAGTGGTTGCTGTTGTCCATAGACATCTACATCTATCCTCGATTACAAATCAAAATGCAGATGCGTTGTCAGCCGTGAGGACTAAGATAGAATGCCTCTTTTCCAGTAAAAAGGGTCTCCGGTTCTCTACACTCACCATACGGAACACAGCACGTTTAAGCTGCTATTTTACGCTGGTATTCTGTGAGAGCGTGGTCCTTCGCCGGTCGAGCCGATCCATTCGTGCTACAACTATACCACTAATATAGCTGCAGCATAAGAATATATATTTATGCCCTGAATTCCACAACGCATTCAGGTTATATGCGTAATGCCATGATTTATGGCATACGACTGCCATTTTTTTAATAAAACTGAAGTTAGAAACAAACTTACAGTCTCTCTACAGTACAGTACAGTACAGTATCTCTTATGATTAATGGCTGCTGCAGTCCATGGACGCCTACAGCCAACCTCAAACTAATAAGACTATAAATGCATTGTCACCTCTGAGTACTAAGATGGAATCTGTCACAGCTTGTAAATCATACTGGTTCTCTATACCTTTCAGACCTACAATTATACTCGTATTTATAAAAAAATATCATCGTCTAGACTAATATTATAGAATATTCAGATATTCTATAATATTATTCTAGATGATGATAATTTTTTTTCATTTATTAAAGGTTATTTTTTTGTATTAATTTAAATTATTTATTTTTGTTTTATTTTTTTTTATTATCATAGTTTTTAATATTGTAGATAAAATTAAGTATTCGAATGTAATACTTTTTAATAAAAAAAAATTTAAATTTAAATTTTGTTTTAATTATTTTTCAAAGGTGGGATTTACAGCTCTATAGTCAGCTATAGAGCTGTAAATCCCATCTTTGAATCATCTTTTTATGAATATTGAATACGATTATATACATGGCAAAGCCACGCTGCAGCTTTATCATAGTTGTAGCATGAACGGGTTGGCCAAGGTATACCAACGGAAAATAGCAGCTTAATGCTACTGTGTTTCGTATGGTAAGTGTAGAGAACCGGAGATCCTATTTGCTGAATAAGAGGCATTCCATCTCAGTCCTCAGGGGTGCCAATGCATCTGCATTTTGATACTTAATCGAAGATAGATGTGGATGTCTATGAGCCACAGCAACTACTTACAAAAAGAAACAATTTGCACCTAAGCGAAATCAACATTTTGGATTTGATTGGTTCATTCGTCGCCCAATATTTAAATAGTTGCGAAGAGATGTTGCATCTCTTTGCATTTTCTTTCGCATCTACCATGGGGAGTGCTCTGAGGAATTGTTCGGATTAATCCCAGCCGCCAAATTTCACGAACGCACATCGCGGCAGAACTCCCGATACCATCCACACCATCTGGATGATTGGCGGTCCACCACTGTGCGATTTAGAAGATGTTTTCTTCCTCGCACAACTTCCTTGTGGAATAGTTTACCACCAGGGATTTTTCCGGACCGATACGACTTAGGGACCTTCAAGAAAAGAGCCTACTCCTTTTTAAAAGGCCCGCAACGCATCTGCAATTCCCCTGGTGTTGCGGTTGTTCATGGGCGGCGGTAGTCACTTACCATCAGGTGAGCCGCATGCTCGTTTGCCCCCTCTCCTATAAAAAAAAAAAAAAAAAAATAGTTATTACGCGATCTTTCATTAAAATTTGACTAAAAGGCTAGGCGTTCGTTTAATTGAAGGCGATTAACTAACTGCCTAGGTGCTTAATTAACTAGCTGAATGAACTATCGGGCTACGATATACAGCCTCGTAAACCTGCACAGTTTCGGCTATTATTCGGAAATATGTCGTGAACGAAATCGGTAGAACCATCGTCAGGTAGCAATTATACTGGAAATAATAAAATTTTGCAGAAATAATTTCAAAGTTAGTAAAAATTTCTTTGCTTATATCCGCTAAATAAAAAAAGTATGTGCCTTACCTAGTTTGAAGATCACTTCCCACACTCCCTCAAATGCGTGCACTATCCCTGTCACCACTAACCTCAGCACCACTACTCCCAACAACACTACACTAGAAAAGACAATCCTGATAATACTTTTAGTAACAGATAAAGACTCATACCAACTGATATTTAGATGGTGAATCTCAACACCACACATGACAGTTTGTAACCGTGGGAAAATCTTTCTTTCAGAGAGCACAAAGGATCTGGGACAGAAAACATCTGGCCGCCGAGCTTCAGGCCGTCAAACAAGTGTTGCACGACAAGTTTCAGGTCCCGTGCCTACCTACAATAACCGAGTGAATCCTGCCACAGTCGAGCGTGTGCCTGCTGTACTGCCATATGTCAGAGAATCCATAGGCAAGGTTGGCTACATCTTGAGCGAGCTTCCTCAAAACGTAATAAGCCGCCAAAGAAGATTAGTCACTTTTTAGTTTTTTGGCCTTGCAATATGGTCGTTTGTCACCCTCACTGTGATCAGCGATTTGTTGCGTGGTTGGAGGGTAGGCGGATGGTTGGAGGGTAGGCGGATGGTTGTAGGGTGGGCGGGCGTTGCGCGGCGGTTTGTTTTTAATTTTACAAACGGCTGCGTAAGTTTGGCGGTGATTGGTCCCATGTTTTATCGCACGACGCAGTCGCTCGCTCCTTAAGTAGAGAGCGGTTGCATTAGCGGTCTGTTTAAATAGCAGGTTGTTTTGGCTCGCGACTCACTTAGCTATCAGCCACCGCAGAGTCTAGATCACCTGAAGATGCCTCGTGTAGAGGCGAAACACGTGTCATATTGTCGTCGGTGGTGTGTCTTTTCTGGTGTAGTGGTGTTGGGAGTAGTGGTGCTGGGAGTAGTGATGACGGTGATAGTGC